TAAGCACTAGCGCCCGAAACTGATATGTCTTGGGTCCGAATCTCGTGAGGCGGGATCATGAATGCACACTCCTGAGGGGTCCCATAATAGAACGAAACGGCCATCCAGTGCTTCCATGTTTTCCATGGTGGTCTAGCTTTAATTGTCTCATGATCTCAACTATTGAATCTCTTTATCTTCACAATCATAATCTATCATATTAGTTTAGCTAAACCCTAATTTATCTCATTAAATTGAACAATATACACTTGTTCTTTTTGTTTTTTTTGTCTCATAGTTACTAATGACTTCTTTTCTTTAATAACAGTAAGAAAAGAAAAAGAAAAAAAAGAGGGAACATTCATTTTTTTTGTATTTGACAAAAGAAAAACAAAAAAAAAGATTTTTTCCCTAATTTTTTTCTATTTAAGGGGTGTATTTTTCACCATGAATATGATTCATCATTTACATAATGGTAAAATACACCCAAGAATAAGTGTTTTGTTTTAATGAGCATTCAAACGGGGATTGAGTTCATTTTTTGCAAATTAGGAACATTGATCATTGAACAGTTTCTTCATCTATATACATACATAGATACATACCTATATTACTTATCTTTACCTAGTTTTAATGATTCATTATTTGTTTTAATTAGATGTAACTATCAGGATATAGTAATTAAGTGGATAATGTGTTGATATTTGAAACGAAAATTACTAGGTTTCAAATCTTAGAGTGAATATCAACTTTGGGAGTCAAGTATATCCAGTTGATGAGTCTAAAACTAAGGACGAAACGTATGTATCAAATTGGTTTCCACTGCTATCCATTATCTATCTTTGTTTAAGGTAATATTGAATCAATCGATACAGGATGCCTATATATATATATGTCAATTACAGTCTTGAACATCAAGTAAACAATACCAAATGAATTAAGATGTATCCTAGTTATAGTTGTATATTAGAAATAAGGTTAACAGTCAAGTTGAAGTGTTTACAATCATCTCTTATATCCATTTTCTTTAATTTCCTGTATATATAATTTTGTAAATATTTTATTGTTTTAATTAATTAATTAATTAGTTAGTGACTGACTCAATGGGGTATTTCCTGGAGTTCTAGTGAGAATCAGTGACCAGTTGAGTTCAAACAAGTCTGTTGTGAGATATTAACTCAATGAAGACATTGTTAGATGTGTCACTCAAATTCTTGGATCGGTTGAAGTTAAACATCAACATCGTTGAATGCCGGTAGGATCAGTGGTCTAGAGGTTAAATGCTTGCCCGAGAAACTGATAAGTTCTGAGTTCGAATCTTGTGAGGCGGGATCGTGAATACGCACTGCTGAGGAGTTCCACAATAGGACGAAAAGGCCGTCTAGTGCTTCCAGGTTTTTCATGATAGTCTAGCTTTATTCAACTAATGAATTCAATTATTGAAATTAATATTACAATATTCCGTCCCCCCTCTCCTCCTTTAGATAATAATTACTTCTTAATTACATCAACTTATGATCACATGGTTAATTTTAATTATAACCTTATAATACTTAAATCATAAGGAAATTAGAATTTTGATAGTTAACCATGTTCAATTCCTTGTTACCCAGGTTACTATTCTAACTTTGAATATCTATGTCAAATATGAGATAATTATCACTAATCATGTCGATTGGTGGATTGTATATTGACTGATACTGGTCACGTGAATGATTTTATTATAGTATGTTATGCAGATGGTACATTGTTCTCCTATCAGATCTGAGGTTAATGTAGATTCACATTAATGTAACAAGTAGATACCATAAAAATTAATTTGATGAAATTAAAGTAATTTACTCATTCTCGGTAATCATATTACTTACTTACTTATCTAATTACTTACGTCTGTTACGTCTGTAGCTCCTCCGTGAGCTACTACCGGTTCCAAGCCCAGGTAAAGGAGAAGGGTTGGGCGTGGGGTTAGCTATCCCATCCCGTAGAAAACTAACTCGCTAAAAACACGATAACCAGAAAAAAAGTATTCGGTAATTGTATAAATCCAGTTTAACAATTAGAATTGAAACATTTCAAAGTATCAATTTCAATAGATGATATCTTGAAGGAGCACAATGGAGAGTCTTTAGTCTGTTCGATCAAATGTGCGAATAAGATGAATTTGCTTTGATTTGTAATCGCTTGGATTATCTCATTGTTGGCAAATTTGATTGAAATTCGATCAATCTTAATTTGCATATGTGTATTCTGTGAGGATTGACTCAATATAGCTGTTATAACACAAGTTTAAAAAAAGAAGTTGGAATGAGACTAGCAGTAGACCATAGGATGAGCATTCCTCTCTGTTTGGAGCTCTCTAGTTGGATGAACCTACATCTTTGTTGATGGTCACTCTGGGACTCGGACTCAGCACTCAATGTATCATACGTTGAGCTATTGAGCTTTGCTTAAACTTCTGGATCATCATTTCTACAAACATCCATCTATTTCCATAAATTACACCGTTTTAGATTTTGTTAACCAGTGGAGTTGAACCACGTCTGTTGAGAGATAGTAACTCACTGAACACATTGGTGGATGTGTTGCTCAATTTCGTGGATCGATTGAAGTTACACATTAACACCGTTGGATGCCGGTCAAGTCAGTGGTCTAGAGGTTAAACGTTCACGCACTAGACTGAGAGATCCTCAGTTCGAATAGCGCGAGTCTGGATCATGGGTGCGCACTCCTGAGGAATCCCATACTAGGACGAAACGGTGATCCAATGCTTCTAGGTTTTCCACGATGGTCTAGCCTGAATTAACTCATGATTTTAACCATAAAAAAACCTCTAGTTATATTTATTAAGTAAGTGTACTTATACACTTTCATAAAACATAATCTACTGAATGTCTGATTACAGAGAAATTGAAGATGTACCACTACGGTAGTTCTTTGGAGGAATGTGAGATGGTTGTATTAGAATTGATACATTAAATAGATACATAGACAGAAATAAAAATCTTATTGAACCAAAGCTGTCAACCAACATTTAAAGATTAACATTAATGACCATTTTATCACTGTCCGCAAAATCTCTTTAAGAAGTCTTCTAATTGAAAGTAAGATTCGGTTTCATAAGCTTTCCTAGTAACCCCCAGGCTAAATCTACACAGCAACTTGAACACGAGAGGAAAGGAGCGAAATATGGAAGAAAATGCTCCAGTCCGAAGGTTTGTTCCTGTATAGAAAATCCAGGGTTTTTGCAGCAATGTAGAAGGCCTTTGGTTTCCGGATAATTCTGAAACTCTACTAAACATTGTAACAGTAGTAGTAATCATCCAATCACAAACGTGACACATGGCTTTTCACTTAGTAGATGTTTTTTGCAAAACTTCTATTGAATGCTGGTTGAACAAGATGTTTCTCAGTGTTTTCAGAGCCATTTTTCGAGGGATTTTCTGGATCCCCTTAACACTTTCTGTATATACTTTCTGAATATTTACAAGTTAACTGCATATCAGACTTAATTTTCGCTTAAATGTTGTATAGTTTATAATAAGCATTGATTACTGAAATCAAACATTTCAGTTCTACATAGAGCGAATAAAATTGCTTTGTTTATTGGAAGTATTGATCAGACTATAATTCATGGACAACTTTTGAGTGACGCTAAGGTGATATTGAAAGTGTCCACCTAACAACTAGTATGTAAAGGCGGATACAAATCCGTATAAAAAAATTAGAATTATGATATACAGTTGATGGTTCGGTTAATGAATTAGATTGAGGGTTTACATCACAAACTGATATCAGTTATAATGCCAAAATGGTATTGCACTAAATGGATGAATGAATTTCATTCGAGAATCCATGACCTGTTTCTCTTAAATCTTTACCCCATTGCACAAGCAAGTGCCTATCAGGACTCAGTAGCTGAGTGGATAACGTGATGGTGTTCGAAATGGACGGTACTGCAGTCGAGTCTCAGAGTGAACATTAACACTGAGATGCAGGTACATCCAGCTGACGAGTCCCAAATAGGACGAAACGTGCGTCAAACTGGATTTCAACGCTAGCCACTATCCATCATAATATTATGTTTGTTTAAGGTTTTGTTTAACGCTAAACAGTTCATGTTGACTAAATTCAAATGAACCCATTCATCTAGGTGACTGAATATCGTGTACATCAATTATAGTCTCACCGAAATCATTTATAAACTGAGTTGTTTTCTGCTTTTAAACTGTTGCATTTTCAAATGTACTCAGGTCATATCTCTTATTCAAATAAACTAATATAAACAAAACAAAAGGTGAAATAATTAGAGCATAACAAACGTCTAGTGATAATACATTATTCTATAGAAAGGTAATGATATGAATAAATTTCACTTTTAGTGTTTGTATATCTATGCAATTCACTATTGACAATTAATTTTTCTGGTTGTCGTGTTTTTTTTTAACGAGTTGGTTTTCTACGGGATGGGGTCGCTAACCCCATGCCTAACCCTCGTCCTTTATCCGGGCGTAGGAACGGCAGTAGCACCCGGGGGAAGAGCTACAGGTGTAGTTACTATTGACAATAAGTTAGATCATTATCAGAAGTGGGTATTGTGAAGATTTTAAGTAATTTTTATATGGTTGAAATCATGAGTAAATTGAAGCTAGACCACCATAGAAAACCTGAGAGCAGTGGATGATCGTTTTGTCCCAGTATGGGTTACCTCAGGAGTGTGCACCCATGGTCCAGCTACACGTTATTCAAACCCAGTATCTATCGGTCTAAGGCATGAACGTTGACCCTACCGGCATCTAATGTTATTAATGTGTAATTTCAATCGATCCACAAAATTGAGCAACACATCTACCAGTGTCTTCAGTGAGTTACTATGTATTAACAAACCTGGTTGAATTCCACTGGTCACTGCTTCTCATTAGAACTCCAGGAACTACCTCTTGAAGTCAGTCACTAGTGAGCATATGTTAAAGGTTTTATTCAATTAATTATCTAGTATATTGTATTTTTCGTTCATATTTCAGTGAAATCATCTCAAATACAAACATATTTTGAAGTAATTCACTTATAAATTGGATGATCAAATATGCCATCGCCTACAACACAAACAAGTAAGTCTTACAATGATGATACTTAATTGGTGGTTAGTAACAGATCAATACATTATATGTTTATATAGTATGATATATCGGACATAGACAACTTCATATGTAGCATATATGTATATCTGTTCTCATAACCATGAACAGAAAGACAAGAATAACGATTAGAACGGAAGTTAAGTAACTGTAAATAATTATAGTACCAAATGTTATGAACAAACATTAGGGAGGGGGGGCAGATTATACCAAACTACATGTTGTATGGTTCGAGTCCCAGGGTGAACATCAACTCTGAGATGCAGGTACATCCAGCAGATGAGTCCTAAATAGGACGAAACACACATAAAACTGGATTCAACTGCTAGCCACTATGTATTGTGCACAATTATACAATGCATTTAGAAACTATGAAAACAATATATTGAATACACCATATGCATATGTTCCTTAAATGATCTCTTACAAACTATATTGTTCCTTCATTACTACTGCTTCCCCGAATAGTTTTGTTTTTTTCTCTCCTTTCATTTTCCTTTACTGACAATAAGAATCCTATTTCTTCAGACATGTTACTTATATATATCCGTATATGTAGCACAAATATAACGCTTCTGAGACAGTAACGCCAATCTCCAGTTAAATCACACCAAAATTTCAGACAATGTGTAGCGAACCTTGCATATCAGTGTTATTTATTTAATAGTTATTGACTGCTGCAATGTGTTGAATTATCACCCTTGACTAGAAAACATTGCTTGTTGATGTAGGTGGTGGTTGAACACACATTCCAACCACTTCATTCAACGAATATCTACTACATCAACTGATTGGCAATCTTTACTTAATCTTGTGTATATATAGCTGGGAGCAGTCATTCTAACGTTTCTTGTTAATTAATATACCGTACCATAACGTATAAACAATTATTACGGTCAGTATCAGGGATGGAGTGCTATTCAAATCACGATCATTTAATCTTAAAACAAATATCTTTGCTCTACTTATTATGAATGGATGTTTTCAGAAGGGGTTTTGTGGAGATTGTAGTAATTTTATAGAGTTGATATTATGAGTCAATTAAAGCTAGACAACCATGGAAAACCTCGAAGCACTGGACGAACGTTTCGTCTTATTGTGGCACTCTTCAGCAGTGCGCATTCACAATCCAGCCTGACGAGATTTGAACCCAGGACCTATCAGTCTCTTACCAGAGCACTTAAACGATAGACCACTAAGCCGGTATCTAACAGCATTAATGTCTAACTTCAATCAATTGGCGAAATTGAGCAGCCATTCACCAATGTCATCAGTGAGTTAATATCTCCCAACAGACCTGATTGAACTCCACTGGTCACTACTTCACACTAGAACAACAGGAAATACGGCCTCAACTGCTTCCAGGTTTTCCATGGTGGTCTAGCTTTAATTGACTCATGATCTCAACTCAATAAATGTTTTCTTTGAAATGAACAATAGATCTACCAATAATTTATGATGAATACATCATTGAAATTCCAAAACCGAAGGTCTTGGGTTCAAGTCCCATGTACAAGATCATGAGTGCGCACTACTGACGAGTCCTATACTGGGACGAAACGACCATCCAGTACTTCCAGGTTTTCAATGGTCGTCTAATATTCAAGATCATGTTTGGAATCAACTTCTTTTCTTTAAAATTAACTTATATTACTAACCATAGGAAACTGATCATTTGTTTTTCTTCTTCTTTTATTAAAATCATATTTCATTTAAACAAATAAACAACTAAATCATTAAAAGCCAATATCAATAATGGTTCAAATTGTGATGATCTATTGAATAATGGTAATCATATTGAATTATTGAAAAAACATTTGCCTCATGTGGATTTTGAAACTGGTTTAAAACATCGCAGTGAGTGACTACTACTACTACCAATACTACTAATACTAATACTTATACTACTAATACTACTGATACTAATACTACTAATACTACTATTACTAATACTTATACTACTAATACTACTGATACTAATACTACTACTACTACTAATACTACTAATACTATTACTTATACTACTAATACTACTAATACTATTACTTATACTACTAATACTACTACTAATACTACTAATACTAATACTTATACTAATAATACTACTACTAATACTACTAATACTATTACTTATACTACTAATACTACTAATACTAATACTTATACTAATAATACTACTACTAATACTACTAATATTAACCTTAATCTGCATGTATGCATGTATTTGTATGTATAGTATTGCATGTAGATGTCTATATGATGATGTAATAATGTCTATCCTATTCTAATGAATCTGATTCATTTTTTAATTCTTGATCGATTGATCGCAATATGATTTTGTTTTATGAAATGTTTTTCCTTGATTGAAATCGATAATCAATATATCAGGTGATTAATTGATTTATATCATTTATTGATTTTATTAATTGATTGATCAGTAAATAATGAATAGTGTTATGTTTGAATTCATTTAGTATTGTTTGTTTGAATCTTCCCATTGATGCTTAGAACTGTAACTGGTCAGTCTCTTATTGGAGGTCGCAGTCATAAGCATCAATGGGAAGATTTAGAACAAACAATACTAAGTGAATTCAAACTTCACCCCATTGTATAACCAAGTGGCTAACAGGACTCAGCAGTTGAGTGGATAATGCGATGGCGTTTGAAGCGACAGGTACTGGTTTCGAGTTCCAGAGTGAACATCAACTCTGAGATGCAGGTACAACCAGCTGACGAGTCCCAAATAGGACGAAACGCGCGTCAAACTGTATTTCACTGCTAGCCACTATCCATTATTGTATTGTGTTTGTTAATGGTTTTGTTTAGCGCTAATCGGATCATGTTGACTGAATTCAAAAGTAACCATTAATCTAAATGACTGAATATCACGTGCAACATGATACGATATTTGATAGTTGATGATAGTCAACAGGAAGTTCTGAATATTCGTCAGTAAAGTGTATTTTTGATCTTGAGCAATCAGTGTTCCTCGGTTGAACACCTTACTGAAGAATGTTAAATAGTATTATACCTAGGTTTAGAGTTTCATCTTTAATAGTTTCAGAATACTAACATATACTGACTTTATTCGGATAACTGTTGAAATCTAGGAACCTGTGAACAGTGTAGAACTTTTCAGCAATGCTCATTCTTGATCAAATCAATGACTGAACTTAAAATATTTCAGGTGATACAATGAGATCTTGACTATTACACAAACGAACTGGAATGAAACAATTCATATGTCTTATTTCAGTTAATTCAATGACAATAAGTGAATATCAAGCATTGAATTTAGTCGTATTAGTCTGAATTTCGACATGAGTTGAATATCACTAGTCATGACTTCAACTTCAACTCTAGATCCAGTTTGAAAGAAAACTTGCTTAAAATCCAAGCATCAGTAAATATTGGAGATCAAACATGTGCTATCAATGATAGTGACCAATGACAGAGGAATATCATATACTGGATTTCCAATCAATGATCTAAAAGTGACTGGCTCATTGTTAAATCGAAATGTCCAGAATTGAACTTGTGATAAAATATCGAATACACACTATTGAAGGCTTTCATAGAAAAAGAGTTAGAATGTTAATTAATTGTTCAAACTGAAGGGGTTTTTGGATATTATAGTAATATCAATAGTTGAGATCATGAATCAATTGAAGCTAGACCATCGTGAAGAACCTGAAAGCACTGAACGGCTGTTTCGTCCTATTATGGGACTCCTCAGAAATGCGTATTCACGATCCCGACTCTCAAGATTCGAACCCACGACCTATCGGTCTTGTGCGCGAGTGCTTAACCTTTAGACGACTGAGCCGGTATCCAACGGTGTTAGTCTCTAATTTCAACCTATCCACGAAATTGAACGACATATCCGCAATGATCTTCAGCCAGTTACTATCTCACTATCTCAATTATTATAATGAAAACTAGATGTTTTATTTCATTTTTTCTCATAAAAATTGTTCTGGTAGTGTCCTAAATGTCTGATAAATTAACCTTGATCAACTCATTTATTATCTTGTTTTAAAGATTTTATAGTTCATTCTGTCAAATCGTTTTACATGTAGATCATATTTGATTGATGATGATCATGATCACGATCATGATCATGATCATCTATTTAACTTGACCCTCTTTTAAAAATGTTTAACCCATAGAAACCGATTTAATTGGGATAAAAAACACTAAAACTATTTGTAAAGAAGTGATTTATCTTTTTATTTTAACTGTTCGCTTTACTTTAACACTTCTGAGTTGAAATCATGAGTCAATTGAAGCTAGACCACCATGGAAAACCTGGAAGCACTCGACGGCCTTTTCGTTTTACTATGGGACTCGTCAGCAGTGCGCATCTACGATCCCGCACTTATGAGATTCGAACCCAGGACCTACCAGTCACGAGCCGAAGCCCTTAATCGACAGACCACTGAGTCGGCATCAACGCTGTTAATGTCTAACTTCAACCAATCCACAATTTTGAGCGACCGTTCATCAATTGTCTTCAGTGAGCTGATATCTCTAAAACAGACTTGGTAGAACTCCACTGGCCACTGCTTTCCACTAGAAATCAAGGAAATATCTCTTGAAGTCAGTCACTAGTGAGCATATGATTATAGATTAGAGGGGGTTTTGTGGAGAATTTAGTATTGACTCATGATTTCAACTGTGAAAATACTAAATTCTCCACAAAACCCCCTCTGATCTTTAATACTTCTGTTTTATGGCCGATTTGATGTGGTTTATGTAAGGGGGATTACAGAAAGAAATGAGTAGTTGTATTTACAATTAAAGATGAAGTCTCGGTGTTCCAACTTTATGTGTAACGATGTTTATTGATGAAGGCTAAGTTATTTTTCATGAGCTCCCAAAATGCCCAAGTACTGCTGAGAGTGGGAAAAGTTAGCTCTAACTCTACAAATGCTTTCACATGGCTATGTGGATATCAGAACTACCAGGGAAGTCCTACTCACTGCCTTCTTAAGGTCACGGTGTTGTTTATTTAATTGAAGGATGAAAAACGAATATCCGGCACTTTAAGGGGTTTAGTGAATACGAAAGGTCCACCTAGGTGAGTTGGAAAACCCTAATTTATAACCAATGGTGCACATGAGCTACAAAATCTTGAAGGAAAAGATGGCGTATGAACCTATTGTTGGTAGCCATGGGACTGTATCTTCTGACTTTGCTTTCCTGGCTTGCGGGTTAGACCTGTAGCCACTTAAGGAAACCACTTGCTTCGATCTGGGCATCCGGGTAGTGTCACATCCCAAACACAAACCCAGTGACTTATACATATACATTCGGTGCCCCTTTGTATCAATATTTTTGTGTTCAAATAAATAAATATATGTATAAGCTCCAAATGTTCTGGTATTTATTCCTGGACGAATTATAGTTGCACATTATAGATTTTCATGGTTAAACAGTTCTTCAATAATCCATGGCTTTTTAATTGTTTTCTAATCAAATTCACTCCATGTCTAGTGGTTAGTAGTAGGCAGAAGGAAGTTCTGAACTCTGTTTTATGCTGTTTGGCCTTCGTCAGTATAACGCGTGCGTTGTGGAGTCACTTGTACGACTCATCACACTGGAACATGATAGATGAAATGCGAACAGTACTGAAAGACTAGGTTAACGTCACATTCATCATTAGTTAGTAATAAATCAGGTGTAAACATTTCAACTATACAGGAAGTCGATCGACATTAAAGTATTTCAGCAGTAATGACTCAGATTATGAATCTGAGTGATTATAGTTCAAATCCCATACAAGCATCAATCATTTGAAGACAAAGCCTAATCAACTAGGTACATTTAACCCCTTAGTTCTGATATACTCTAGTATGTCAATAAGACAAAAGGATATACACTTGATTAATTATGTCAATGATTAATGTATTCTTGATAATATAATCCAGAAAAAGAAAAAAAAACAGAACTCGGTAACAACATTCATAAAAATTGTTATTACATTGAAATGATAGAAAAGTAGTTTAATAAGGGAAATGAACTTTCTACCTGTCATACTTGATTACTCTTCATGTATAACTATGGCAACATGACCTGAATGAAATAACACTTTGTTATATATATGTATATAGTGATAGGAAATAGATTGTTTTTTATCTGGTATGAATTGAAGCAAGACTGAATTCACCGATTTGACATAGATATTCTAGATCACTTATTTAATTAATTACACCTGTTACACCTCATCGAGGAACATTAGCCACCAATCGAACTCTGTTCTTGACTAGCTTCTGTCGGTCCTTCACGACTCCCTGGCTGGGGTCCGAGAGATGGTGATACAAAGTGAGTAGAGTCATTATTAGATATGGCTTAGAATATAAGCCATTGTCGATCCTGTTGAAACCTTCTTTTACTTTTTGCATAAAGAGTGGTTATAACCTCCCTACCTGAGAGAGCTCTTCTGATTGTACATATTAGTTCTACTCATCATTACTCTTTTTATGCATCTTAACTTTTTTCTCTTCTCATTTTGATTGTTTTGTGTGGCACATATATATATATATATCTGGTGTCCCCTTGCACCAATATTTATGTGTTTAAATAAATAAATAATAATAATCCGTTCTTGACAATCCTCTCTAGTTCTTTACAGTTGCTATTCGTCCTTTTCAAATATACTTCCAATTCCCGATACAATGTGTTCTTTGATCTTCCTCTTTTCTGTTTTCCTTCAGAATACCAAGTTTGAGCTAACCTTCTGATGCCGTTTGACGATTTTCACAACTTATATCCTATCCACTTCCATCTTCTTATCTTAACTTCCTCCTCAGCAGGAAGCCGGTTTGTTCTCTTCAGCAAAAAACTGTTACCGATAG